GCAAGAATACTGGAGCAGGTTGCCATTTCCTTCTCCAGCGGATCCTCCCACCCAGGGACTGAACCTGAGTCTCCTGCATTGGCGGGTAGTTTCTTTACCACTGAGCCACCTGGGAAGTCAATATTTGTCTTGATATACATCATTGAATGGTTCCCTCTGCAATCCAGCTATGTGTCTGCTTCCCTACAGCCTCACCAATAGAGAGTATCTTTTGGTGTGTCAAAAGAGTATGTCAAAATTTCTTTTTGGTGCTTGCCAATCTAAGAGGGGAAAAGACGCTATCTCAAAGAGTTTTTTTTTTTTTTTTTTAATATTTATTATTTTATGTATTTGACTGTACCGGGTCTCAGTGGTAGCACTCAAAATCTTCCATCCTAATTGTGACTTGCAGGATCTTTAGTTGTGCCATGTGAACTCTTTGTTATGACATGTGGGATCTAGGTCCCCGACCAGGGACTGAACCCAAGCATCCAGTGTTGGGAACACAGTTTTACCGCTGGACCCCCAGGGAAATCCTCTCTCAAAGAGTTTTAACTTTCCTTTTATGAGTGAGGTTGAATCTTCTTATTTTTTCATGTAACTAAGAGACATTTATTTCTTTTTCTGTGAACTCTCATTTTTTTATTGGATTTTAGGGCTTTCTCTTATTGACTTCTGGAAACTCTTTAAATACTAGGGAGATTAGTCCCTTGCCTATGGTATGTGTTGGAGCCATTTGTTAATGTTAATCATTTGTCTTTTAATGTTAATGTTAATCATTTGTCTTTTACAGTGAAAGTGAAAGTCACTTAGTCGTGTCCGACTCTTTCCAACCCCAAAGACTATACAGTCTATGGAATTCTCCAGGCCAGGATACTGGAGTGGGTAGCCTTTCCCTTCTCCAGGGGACCTTCCCAACCCAGGGATCGAACACAGATCTCCCACATTGTAGGCTGATTCTTTACCAGCTGAGCCACAAGGGAAGCCCATTTGTCTTTTAATGTTAATGTTAATCAAAGACAAAGGGTTAAATGATTAACAAATGTTAATCATTTGTCTTTTGGCTATTTTCATGTTGCTTTTTTGGTCAAACCAAAGCTTTTCATACCCATGATGTCTAGATTTTGATAGGCAGTTTAAAAAGGTTTTCTTGGAACTCTGCTCAACGTCATGTGTCACCCTGAATGGGAGAGAGGTTCAGGGGAGAATGGTATGTCAGATATTCTCTTCCTGGGTTCTTGTCTCATTGCAACAAAAATTTGGAGCAATGGGTTAAACGGTGTAAAACAACTGACAAGTTACAGCTTAGTTCAGCTCAAGCAGACAGATCTTTTATTACACAATCAATGACATGAGAGCAGGCCCACCCCAAAGGAATCCTCCTCATTCTTCCTGTTGATCCCTCTTGCCTTCCTCCTTTCATACTTCCAGTCTCCTCCTTTTGGTTATAGCCTGTGCAAAGTAGCACTTGTACTCACCTCCAATCAATGAAAGGGAATGCAAATGGGCATACGCTATATAACAGTAGACTATGCTGTTTACGTCTTCCCATGATTCAGTCTGTTTTAATTAGATGTAGAATATTCATGATCCCTTACTGGGTTCCCAACTGCCTAAGGTTACTTTTAGAAGCCCCTGTGGTTATTTTGTAGTGCCTAGGACATATGTGCAAGTTTTGAAGTGTCTGTGTTTATTTTGCAGCCTATCCAATGAGCTCTCCTGGGTGTGTCTAAGATGGAGTTCAGAGATCAGCTTGCATCCCTTTCAGCCAGGCCTCCCCTTGTTGCTTTTGTCTAACTTCCTACCGAACAGATACGTGTATATTTGAGGCTAAGGCCCTTAGCTGTTCACATGAAACTACCACAACATTGTTAATCTGCTGTACCCAAATAGAAAATAAAAAGTTTAAAGTTTGATTTTTTAAAAAAGGCTTTTTTACTCCAAGATAAAAAATTTTTTTAAAAAAATTCTTGTTCTTTTATAATTCCATTGTTGTACATTTGTATCTTTTTTGATTTGGATTTTATTCAGGTATGGTAAGCTATAGATTCAATTTTATATTTTTTCAGATGGCTGTTTCCATCCCAATACCATTTATTAAATAGTCCATCTTTCTTCGCAGTGACTTGAGATGCTACCTTTATCAGATATCACTTCTGAAAATAATTTGAGTGTATTTCTGAATGTTCTATTCATTGATGTGTCTATTCATGCATCTGTGACACGCTGCTTTGTTGACTGAGGCTTTTGAATATGATTTCTTATTTCGATAGGTGTAGTAGCCCCCTTACTATTACTCTTTGCCGTCAATGTTTTCCTGGCAAATATTCTTTTACTTTTTGGCTTGAAGGATCGTAGTTTCCCAATCGGGGATTGAGCCTGGGTCCTGGGCAGTGAAAGCTGAGTCCTAACTGCCAGGGAATTCTTCAGATACTCTTGCTTTTGATCTTTCTTGTTGATTTTTTCATGTGTAAATCAGAATCGCTTTACCTAATTAAAAGTAATTATTGGTGTTTGATAGGAATGGTATTAAATTCATAAATTTAGAAAAAGTATCCAAGAATAATGTTTTTCTCCATGTATTTAAGAGGTTTTTTTTTTTTTTTTTTTTTTTTTTTTTTGGTGTGATTTGGTGGGTATTTTAAATTTTATTCATATAGCATTTCACAACTATTACGCAAGTTTTATTTCTGGGTATTATTGTTATTTTTGTATATTGTTTTATTTTGTCTATAAGTAATCAACCTTGTATAAAATGGATCTTCTCTTCCATTATATCTTCTAATTCGTTGTTAATTTAGATAGATTAGATTATTTTTTTCTCATTTTGATAATCACTTGTTGCTCTTATTGTTAGTATAGTTTTTTAGACGATTCCACTTGCTTCAGATCTGATGTTTAAGTGAGAAATAAACTTCTCTATTGTGTGAAAACACTGAGATCTGGGGCTTGTTACTGCAGCATTTCCTACCTATCCTGACAGATACAAGTGATTTAAAAAAATAAAGAGGCTCAATACACAAATATATTAATATTAGGGCTAAATTCTGTGCCGACAATGGTATGCAAGCAGGAGTTTAAGAAGAAAAAGCACAATGGAATTCTGTACTGTTACAGAGCTTATTCATGTATTTCTAAATTTTTATCATTGGCTTGTTGGGTCTTCCTTAACTGCCTGTGCTTTTTCTAGTTTCCCTGAGCAACCGCTTCTCCTTCTTAGGGTACATGGGCTTCTCATTGCAATGGCTTCTCTTAAGGTGGAGCACAGGATCTAGGGCCGGCAGGCTCAGTAGTTGTGCTGCTCTGGCTTAGCTGTTCTTCTGCATGTGGGATTTTCCCAGAGGCGGGATCCAACTGCATCCCTTGCATCAGCAGGTGAATTCTTAGCCATTTAACCACCAGAAAAGCCCTTTATTCATGTACTCTTAAAATGGAAACTAAGGAAATGGCAACCCACTCCAGTACTCTTGCCTAGAAAATTCCATGGATGGAGGAGCCTGGTGGGCTACAGTCCGTGCGGTCGCAAAGAGCAGGACACGACTGAGCGATTTCACTTTAACTTTTCAGTGGGGCTCAAATCACCATAGTGTCTATATTACAACGGTTAAGAGTTAACATCTAGTTGTATTTAAAACCACCATCTTCCATAGTGTGACAAAAACCAAGTCCTTTGCAACTATTTTAGTGAATGTCACTCAGTCATGTCCGACTGTTTGCCACCCTATGGACTATACAGTTCACGGAATTCTCTGGGCCAGAATACTGGAGTAGTAGCCTTTCCCTTCTCCAGGGCAGTTTCCCAACCCAGGGATTGAAGCCAGGTCTCCCACAGTGCAGGCTGATTCTTTACCAAGTGAGCCACAAGGGAAGCACCAGAATACTGCAGCGGGTAGCATTTTAACGTGCACTTATATCTCAGAGATGCTAACCAAACAGTCTTCAGGAACTGTAGTAGGTGTTCTCGGCTTGGTCAGGGAAAGATAGACTGCCTGGACCCTCCCAGCTGAGCAGAGTCTACAGGATTCCTCCACCTTTCTCCAAGGCACAACCATTGGGTTATCAGATCACGCAGGGAACCTGTGGGCCCGAGTAACGTTACAGACGTAGTTGAGAGCAGCTCTGGAAAAGCGCAAACCCCAAAGTCCCCCTTTAAGAGCAAGTACCCAGAAGTCAGACGTTCGGGTTTCAATTTGGTCTGCTCTCGAAGAAACTTGCCAACCTCTTCGTGCCTTAACTGCCTCGTTATAACGACTTTATTGTATTAAGTGACTTAATGAACGCAGAGCACTCAGAAGGGCGAACGCTAAGAGCGCCGAGCTCGGGAGGTCCCGGCGCCCCGGCCCTGGCCGTTAAGCCGACAGCCGACCACACAGGCCGGGGGACCGGAGCCTGGCACTGGGGAAGAGCGAGCCCCCACCGCCGCGCCTGCATTACACAAGGGTTTCTGTAGTGCGGGGCTATTTATAAACACGAAACCGAATACATGTTTCTCCCTTAAGAAGTTAATGGTTATGTTCCACTGTAATTATGTTCCATTGTGCCCTTTCCAAGCCACGAGCGTAGGAGCCCAAGATGGCGTAAGGAAAAACATTCCACATGAGCGTCTATTCGAGTCAACAGATATCCTCCGGGCGCCGTTTGACTTCTGTTTGAAACCCCCCGCCCTGTATGCTCCAAACGCCGAGACCACGGAAATTCGGCCCGACGGTCCCCGTACGCGACAGTTCCCGGAAATCTCCCTGTCCCGTCGCCTCTCGGACGTCGGCGGGAGCGCGCACGCCGACCCGGAGCCCGGAAGGCGCCGTCGGGTCACGTGTCGGCGCGCCCCCGCCAAGGCGGGCTCCAGGCGGAAGTGAGGTCTCGGCTAGGCGGCAGCGCAGCGTCGGCGAGGAGCGCGGGCTGCGGAGAGGCGGGCCGGGCAGAGCGGGGCGAGCGGGAGCGCGGGCCGGGTAAGCGGCGGTGGCGGCGACCCGGGCCTCGCGGCTCAGCGCCGCATCGGAGCAGGCCTACGCAGCGCGCGCCTCTCACCGAGCCCGACCGCTGAGCGCGCCCTGGGCGGGCGAGCTCTGATCACTGAGGCCCAGTCTGCCCCCGCGGCGCGGTGAGTGCGGGCGGGGCGGGCGGCGGCGTGCGCGGCCGGAAGTGCGGCGCTTTGTGCGGCCGATTTGGGCGGCGCCAAGGTCGGGCCCGCGGCGGCGCTTTGTCCCGCGGGGCCGAGCGGGAGGGTGCTGCCGGAGGGAGGCGGGGCTGGGCTACCGGGAGCGCGGGCAGGTGCGGTGTGGGCAGCGGGGAACCTGCCCCCGCCGGCGAGAGCGGCGTTTGTTGCACAAGTGTTCTCTGGGTGTTTTTTTAATGTCCAGGTGATCAGATCAGGAAAATGCAAAAAATGGGGAAGCAGTGGGGTGGTGATTCTGTTCGTAGGATCTTCATCGTTTCCAGTGTGTAAACTATCCACTTTTCTTACAAAGTAAACATTCCATTTGCTTGGCAGAAGCTTTAGCTTGAAAGGCTTTCAATGTTTTATCCAGAAAGGACGTATCGTGGCCCAGCCTTGGTTAACTTCAAAAGAGAGGTGCGCCTTTACAGCGTCCACGAATAGGGTCTTCCTCTTTTATAGTGTACGTAAGCGTACATCTAATGTATTGGATGAGTTAATGCTTCATTACAGTCATACATAAAAGTATTTTGGAGTGTTTTGCCAAGCAAGACTTTTTTTAAGTGAAAAGGTTTGTCTCCTTCCCCCTCCTTAAATTCTCGAGTCACCCTTGTGTAATTTTTAAGATTATTTTCTCAAGTAGTATATGAAAAACTTGGCAATAATAGTAGGGACAAGTTTTAGAACTTTGGTTAAGTAAACAAGGACCGGGTTATTTTTGCTGTGACATTAAAGAATTAGGCTAATTGTTCTGTTGTTGAAGGTACTATGGTGCACATTGTGAAGTTTTTTTGTTTCTTTTGAGGTTTATAGGGTGGGCTTGCTTTAGTATGTGTTTGCATAATTAGTTCCGTTTAGTCGTATTTGTGACTAAATGGACAAACTAAGGTGTGCCAACAAAGGTGCGTCTAGTCAAAGCTGTTTTTCCAGTAATCATGTATGGATGTGAGAGTTGGACTATAAAGAAAGCTGAGCGCCGAAGAATTGATGCTTTTGAACTGTGGTGTTGGAGAAGACTTGAGAGTCCCTTGGAGTGCAGGGGTATCCAACCAGTCCATCCTAAAGGAAATCACTCCTGAAATTTCATTGGAAGGACTGATGTAGAACCTGAAACTCCAATACTTCGGCCACCTGATTTGAAGAACATTGGAAAAGACCCTGATTCTAGGCAAGATTGAAGGCAGGAGGAGAAGGGGACAACAGAGGAGATGGTTGGATGGCATCACCGACAGGATGGATATGAGTTTGAGCAGGCTCTGGAAGTTGGCCATGGACAGGGAAGCCTGGCATACTGCAGTGCATGGGGTCGCAAAGAATCGGACACGACTGAGCAACTGAACTGAACTGAAGGTGTGTTAGAGGTCCCTGCAGGCTTTAAGATTTGGAAACTGCAGCCTTCCTCTATGTTCTGTGTAGCAGTCACTCTAGACACGCGGAGCAGGTAGCATCCCCTCTTCCTGTCTCCTGCTCTTCGGCATAGTGGAAGGATCCTACAAGCCAGGAGGGCGGAGGAAGCTGCTGTTGGTATTACTTCCCCTGCCCTCTTATCCCGCTCCGATAGATTTGTTAAGAGTTTTACTTAGTATTTTACTCTATAGCTGCTAACTCCTTTCCGTTTTAAGGTTAGACAGAATTGATGTCAAAATTATTTGAATTTTCAAACGAGAAAATGAGGAGTGTAATGCCATAGAGAGAGAAAATTAGAATTGAGAAAAAGAAGCTTAAGTGCATATAAAGAATATTATTTTAAGTTTTTTTTTATAGGTTCTGTAGCTTAAAGGCAAATTTTTGCCTCCCAAACTTGTCTTATATAAACAGCTTCTTTTCACTGATCAGTTGAGAGCAATTTTAAAACAACAGCACACCAGCCTAATAGAGGTATGATTACTTTTTTTATGCCTGTGTTCCACTTTATGTCTGTATCTTTGAAGTTCTGTGCAGAAATATGCGAATGTCTCCCAATAGATTGGAAACCTTGATAGTGAAGATCGAGTTTGGAGGTGTTCAGAGTCTATCTTATTATGTGCTCTTCTTGATGTTATCATGTGTTACCCAGAATTTCCAGTGTTGATTGTGCTGAACGGATTTTATCTTGTGTATTGCTGTCTGAGAGAGAGAATTAAAGCCCCTTGACCTTAGTTTTCTTGGTAGGAAGAAAAATAATACACAAGGCCTCTACAGTGCACACAGGGTAGCAAAGAGTCAGACACGACTGAGCGACTTCACTTTCTTTTTTCTTTTTTAAAGTTTTAGAATTTCTGTTTTGTGTGGGAACTTTGTTTAGGTCATGGTATATTTTGAGACTAGAGAAACTAGTACAGTGATGGATGTTAAATATACTTTCCCTCTGAGGATTATCAGATTTCAAGTTGAGAAATTTTTGCTGTTATCTTTTTTAAACCCTAATCTGAGACTTACCTATTTTGCTGCAGGTGTCAAACCACCCATAGGAATTCTGACATTTTCGTCATTACAAATGAGAAACTTAAAAAAAAAAAAAGAAAGTGATACTAGCTTCCTTGGTGGCTCAGAGGGTAAAGTGTCTGCCTGCAATGAGGGAAACCCGCATTCGATCCCTGGGTCTGGAAGATCCCCTGGAGAAGGAAATGGCAACCCATTCCAGTACTCTTGCCTAAAGAATCCCATGGACGGAGGAGCCTGGTAGGCTACAGTTCATGGGGTCCCAAAGAGTTGGACACGACTGAGCGACTTCACTTTCTTTCTTTCTGGCTCTAGCCTTGAAATTGGGATCCTTGGCCCGTACCAAATCAGACTGGGAAGTCGGTGGTTTCTGGGGGACCATAGGCACTAGAATCCCAGGCAGAGTGATGATGGTGTTTTTTTGCCTTTAACTTTTCATTACTTAAAAAATATGCAAATAGAACATACAGCCGTACACCCAACATCTCAGTCCCATTTATATAGGGTGCTCAGGGCTGGTGCACTGGAATGACCCTGAGAGATGGGATGGGGAGGGACGTGGGAGGGGGTTTCAGGATGGGGGACACATGTACACCCATGGCTGATTCATGTGAATGTATGGCAGAACCACCACAATATTATAATTAGCCTCCAATTAAAATAGAAAGAAAAAAAATATTAGATTACAGACATCATGTCATTTTTACCCTTGTACAGTTTAATATGTACTTTTAAAAATCAATACCTCTTTACATAACAAAATGCTATTCTCACATATAATAAAATTAATGATTGTTTAATGCCATTTGATGCCTAGCCCATGTTTGTTTGTATCCCTCAGTCCTTAAAATACCTTTTTGTAATTTTTTCTATCTTAAAATCAGGATTCAAACAAAAACCTCCTGTGGCCTTCATTAAATCTATGTTAATCTAGAACCATCCTTCTCCCTACTCCCCACCTTTTCCCAGACCATTGACTTACTGAAGAAACTGGCCCCTTGCCCTCTAGATTCCCTTCTTTTGGCTTTGTCTGATCGCTTTATGATGTTCAGTATATTTCTGTAATTCCTCCCAGGAGTTACCTGGGAGTTAGATGTGTGGGGTGCATTGGATTCAGATTTTAGTGTTTTCGTAGCAGTACACCTCAGATGATGCAGAGTGATTCCATCATATGAGGATGCGTGTAATAAGTAGCTTGGGGGGCTTCCCCGGTGGCTTAGTGGTAAAGAATTCACCAGCCAGTGCAATGAGACATGGATTCAGTCCGTGATCTAAGAGGATCCCACTTGGCTGTGTGCCACAACAATAGCCTGTGCTCTGGAGCCCAGGAGTGGCAGCTATGAAGCCCACACGCTCCAGATCCTGTGCTCGGTAACAAGAGAGGCTGCCAGATGAGAAGCTGGAGCAGCAACTGGAGAGTAGCCTCCTCGCAGCACAGGAAAGCTTGAGCAGCAGTGAAGACCCAGCACAGCCAAGATAAATAAAGATTTAAAAGATAAGTAGTTTGCTCTTAGTGATGTTAAGATTGGTCCGTGGGTTTAGCATTCATGTCCACTAATCAATAAACTGAGCACAATTATGGTAGTTTGAAGATTCTTTGACAGACTGAAAACTGACCTTTTCCAGTCCTGTGGCCACTGCTGAGTTTTCCAAATTTGTTGGCATATTGCTCACCTTACCAGTCTCCTAAGAAATGTATGTGGATCAAGAAACAACATTTAGAACCAGACATGGAATAACAGACTGGTTCAAAATTGGGAAAGGAGTATGTCAAGGCTGTTATATTGTCATCCTGCTTATTTGATTTCTGTGCAGAGTACATTATTCGAAATGCTGGCTTGGATGAAGCACAAGCTGGAATCAAGATTGCTGGGAGAAATGTCAACAATGTAAAAAAAAAAATGCAGATGATACCGCCCTAATGGCAGGAAGTGAAGAGAAACTAAAGAGCTTCTTGATGAGGGTAAAAGAAGAGGGTGAAAAAGCTGGCTTAAAACTCAACATTAAAAAAAACTAAGATTGTGGCATCTGGGAAAGCAGTGACAGATTTTACTCTCTTGGGCTCCAGAATCACTGCAGACAGTGACTGTAGTCATGAAATTAAAAGACGCTTCCTCTTTGGAAGGAAGCTAAGACAAACCTAGACAGTGTATTAAAAAGCAGAGATATCAGTTTGCCACAAAGGTCTGTATAGTCAAAGCTATGGTTTTTCCAGTAGTCATGTACAGATGTGAGAGTTGGACCATAAAGAAGACTTGAGTGTCAGAGAATTGATGCTTTCAAATTGTGGTGCTGGAGAAGACTCTTGAGAGTCCCTTGGACTGCAAGGCTATCAGACCAGTCAATCTTAAAACTCTACCCTGATTATTCATTGGAAGAATTTTAGCTGAAGCTCCAGTGCTTTGGCCATGTGATGCAAAGAGCTGACTCATTGAAAAAGACCTTGATGCTGGGACAGATTGAAGGCAAAATGAGAAGGGGGCAACAAAGGATGAGATGGTTAGATAGCATCACCGACTCAGTGGATATGAATTTGCACACTCTGGGAGATAATGAAGGACAGGGAAGCATGGTGAGCTGTATTTCACAGGGTTGCAGAGATTCGGACATGATTTAATGACTGAACAACAGTCATTAAGCATATATTCTAGCAGTTCTAAATTAGATTTATATAATCATCTCAATTTCATGTTTATTGCTATGAAGATTCCTGTATTTTCTATTGGACAGTTCTTTTTATTAAAGAACATTGAGAGAATATGAATTATCTTTGGACAAGTGAGATGCAGGGGGCCAGGGCTGAATAAGCTATTTTCCCTGCCCTTGAGGCTCATCATCTTGGGGGAATCTCATCATTTAAACAAGTAACTTAAGAAGCTGTTACGGTATTGTTCATAGACCTTGTGCAAACCTTTTTGTTGAAGTGGGAACTGCAACGTTTTCTTTCATTAATCCTGTTATTTTTTTACCTTTAAGTTTTAATTATAACTTCTTAATCACTTTAGGAAATAGTTATTAGTCTCTTGGGAAGCTTAAAAGCTTTTAGGAAATATAACTTCTGGGTAGTTTGGACATACGGTATTTAGAATTCAAGTGTAATTCTGTACATTTTTTAGTGGCAAATGTAGGGTAAGATTTTCTTAGTGGTTTAGACTGTAAGGTTGTGAAAGGGTAGCCTTTGTGGTATTCAGTGCTTTGAGCTGTCTACAGTTCTTGGCTATAATGAATAATTCTGTTACAAACATTCAGGTATAAGTTTCTGTGTCGATATGTGTTTTCACTTCTCTTGGTAACTCCTCTCTTTAACTGCCATGCTGCTCATCAGCTTCCTTGCCTACCAGTTGACATCTCCTGCACAGCCCTACATTTAAGGGTCTCCATGTGATAGTTCCAACCTAACCTGTGTCTCTGTAGTCATCTTTGTTGATTCACATGTAGCCCAAGCTCCAGACAAGCCCAGCTGCAAAGTGTCCCTAATGTGCGTCTTGCATTTTCTAATTTCTGTGGCTTTTCAAGATCCTGCCTGTTGAGAGCGTATGTTACCTTTGTAATTTACTCCTGACCATTCCTCTCCTCCTGCATTAAATTTTTGCTCTTCCCACTCAACCCTTACAACACTATATTCCTTTATGGCCCTTAACACTCTTTGGCCCCGAGTCGTCATTGTTTATGTCTTCTGACTTGCAGCCCTGCCTGTCCGGTACAGTACCCACCACCTACATGTTACAATTCAGAGTCCAGCTAATGTGCAGGTCCTTGGTCGAGCCACATTTCAAGTGTTCAGGTAGCTGTTAGTGACTGCTGCGTGTGGATGGAGCAGACGTACATTTCCATCTTCACAGAAAGTTCTGTGGGACCGCACTTTTCTAGGTGGTGAACTCAGAAGAGGGACTGTGACTTGTCTTCCCCCTCTGTGACCTCTGTGTAGTGCTTTACTTATTCAGTTAAGAAAAGGAAATTAGATCCTGGCACAGAAGAGAGAAACAGAGTATTGAAAAGTATTCACTTCTCTCGAAATGATAGTTGTACCAGAGAAGTAGATGAAATATGTGAAAAATCTCCACATCTTTTGTTGCAGATCCACCAAGAATGGGTTAAAAGTGCAAGCTAATGGGGATTGACAAGTTACCAATTTGTTTCTTCTTAAACTGTGATGTAAAATACAGTTGGTTTTCATGTCTGCTTCTTATGCTTTGCTGTGCTTGTTTCTTTCTAATCTGTTCTGTAGATTTGCACTGTCCAGTATGGTAGCCTACAGCCAAACACTACTATTGAAATTTAGACTGAGGTTAAATAAAAAATCAAATCTGATCCTAGCCACATTTTTCAGGCGCTGATTGTTTACTTGTATTTATAGCTAATGGATGCTATACTAGACAGCACAGATAGGGAACATCTTCATCCTTGTTCTTCTGGACGGCGCTGATTTTTTACTTGTATTTATAGCTAATGGATGCTATACTAGACAGCACAGATAGGGAACATCTTCACCTTGTTCTTCTGGACAGCACTGATCTAGATTTCTGTCTTAGCTGTGGTTGCGGATGTCATGTCAAATTTTGTTCTGCCTTTTGGTTAGGAAGTTAAATAAGACAGTTATTTAGGTAATGAATGTCCCAATCACTGATATCCCCAATTAGTTTCTACTTTAGACCTTACTGCACAGGCTAAGGACTTGACCAGGTGTACTGAACTGCTTAGTTATAACTATTCTAAGTCAGTAAGATGAGGTAGAAATTTGGAGCGGTGTGTTTTTGTATCTTGCCTTTTCAGTGGAGTTTGATGCCGAGTGCTATGAAGTGCATGTGACCTTTAGAAAGTCAGCAGGTAGTGGCACCTTTTTTTGTGTGTCGTTGTCTTTGGTGCTAGACCTACTGCAAACAGGACTGAGTTCCAGTTTCCTGTCTACATTCTAGCTGAGGATGTGGTGGGGCAGGCAGACACTGGCAAATATATGTACACTTTATGCTTTGCTTTTTTTTTTGCCACACTACGTAGCTAGTGGAATATCAGTTCCTCAGCCAGGGATTGAACCTGGGTCGTGGCAGTAAAAGCGCAGAATTCTAATGGTGAGGTCACCAGAGGACTGCCTGGTTTTCTTTTTAAATAGACATTTTTTTAGAGCAGTTTTGGTTTCAGAGCAAAACTGAGCAGAAAGTGCAGAGTTCCCATATGCCTGTTGCCACCGCCCCCCACCGCCATTGCTGTTTTTATTTTTAAATTTAAGATCCCTTTAATTCTTACTACCAAGTAAGTCAGTGATTGACTTACTGGATAAAGAATACTGAATAGTCTTAATTAAACTCACACTTTAAGGATACATTGGGTGATAAAATTCAGAGGAAGGGATAAAACCATGGTTGTAGCTGTGCAAATTCTTGAACTTGTCAGGCAAAGAAGATGATGAATTATAGAACATTGACTAGGTTAATAGAGTTGCAGTGCTGTAGCTAATTTGTCTCTTTTAGGAAATACACATATATTTTATTTATTTTTAGGAAGTATATAATTTAACATAAGTTGTTTCAGAAGTAGAGAGAGGTGCAAGAAGAACGTTAAACCACTCCATCTAGAGGCAGTCACGGTTCATGCTTTATTCTCCTCCCAGATTTTTTTCTGTCTATGCTGGAGGTGTACTTGCCTGTATGTGTAGGTGCACATTTGGGATCATACTGCATTAAACTATTGTGCTCCCTCCCCTTTTACTCAGTTATCGTTATATCATCCTGTGTTTTTAAACACTTAAAAAAAGCAGCTGCATGGTATTTCATGCGCTGGATAGATCTGGTTAAGACTGTTCTTTGTAATAAAGACGTTTAGATTATTTATAGTTTTTTTTTTTTAAACTGTCTTGAAAAACAGGGACATGAACACTTTTTTCCCTTAGCTTCTGATGGACTCGAGAGTTATAAAGCAAAGCATACAGTGTCCTGGTGGGCACCCGTTAGGGCTTTGGCATTCCTTTTCTGTTCTCTGTTGGTTAGCAGCAGCATGGAGTGCCTTGTTTCTGCATTTCATAACAGATTAGAGAAAGGCCTCTTGCTACCTGCTTTTTTGAGACTGGTGATGGAGAAAAACCTGAGAACAAAAGTGCTTGGCTAAATCACTTTTTTTCCCTTTTTAGTTCTTGAAATCATGAATCCTGTTTATAGCCCGGGTTCTTCTGGGGTACCCTATGCAAATGCCAAAGGAATTGGTTATCCAGGTAAGCACGTAAAATTTTGTTTCCATTATTAAACTTTGAATACATGGTCCATTTCTATGTCATTAAGAATGCTTTTGATGGACAGACCCAGCTCCAGTGGGTTAGATAAGGACGAAAATGTGTCAGTCCATGGAACTGAAAAATCAGGAGCTTGGCTGGCTTTGGTCAGAGCCTGCTCTGACGGCTGCCAGGGTGGGGACCAGGTCTGGTTTCTTCACTTCCTGCGCTCAGCTTCACTTCCTCAGTGCTGTCACGGTGTGGGGCACAGGCCGCACTTCTCCCTGTTGCGGTTGTGTGGTGCTTAGCCGCTCGCTTGGCTGTGAGTCTCTGCATCTGGCTCTGTGGGAAGGCCCCTTGGGACTTCTCTTCATGCCAGCACCCTGGATCGGGAGGGGAGTCTACTGATGAATTTAGGCCCGAGCCACACTCTCCACCTCAATGAAGCCTACTAGTCAAACATGGGCTGAAATAGGGTGAAGCAAAATTTGGGAGAATAGGAGTTGGGGGTCAAAAATAGCAAACGGTTGCCCTAATTGAAAGGAATAATGTAATATTACAATTTTGGATTTAGATAATATGGTGGTACCATAGATAATACCCCTGAAAAATTGAAGAAGCATTTCAAAAATGTTTAACTAAACTTTTGCAAGAAAATAAGACTTTTCTACAGCTAAGTATGAAGGTGACGTAAAAACCAGAGTATCTGGCCATTGAGTTGATCTGCCTACCCTAGGGGCATTTGTTCTTTGTGGGTTTTAGCAACCCTTTTGGGGACGAAGTGAAGTCTCCGTTCTTGTAAGGCTGGGATTTGGAGTGGGACCCCTCATTAGTCTGATTCCTCCAGAGAGTGATATTCCCATAAGAGAGGTAAGTAGATCAATCCATACTGGTTCCATGGAGACGTTCATTTCAGCTTGGGCTCTGGGAAGGAAGAAGTGTTTTCTAAGAATTTGTAACCATTCAAGGATGTTTTGGCTTCTGCTTTGAATTACTTGTCCTTCCAAGGGGTGCATAAATTGAGAAACTAACAAAAAAAAAGTCTCTAGGCTGCATTGTCCCCTGAAGCCCCTGACAGCAGCAAATGCAGATCTGTGTGAGGGCAGGTGTTCGCAGGCCAGGTCGGGCGGGCTTCCCACACAGTTCTGCTTGGTACGTCGCAATCATAATGAACACCGTAATGTGCATCATGCCTGAGTCACCAGTCGTGATAGATAGCAGGAATAAAACATCAGGTAGAAACCACATCAGACAAGCATGCTGATAGTAATTGAAGATGCGAAAGAAAGAATCATAGCAAAAAGAACCAACTGGAACTGAATGAAAAAAGAAGAAAAAAAGAATTTGAACAAAATTCCAGTTAAACCGCAGGCAAAACACTGCTAAAGGAGGGACCAGCATGCAGCATAAGGAAGGGGAGAAGTAGACTGGTTAAGAAATAGAGGTGTTAGGGTGAGAAGTCTAGGGGAGAATTAAAAGCTCCAGAAGGACTAAGTAGAGAGACTAGAAGAAAAATAGTGACAGGATTTTCTAGAATTGGTAAAAGATAATTTAGTGGTAAGACCTCCTGTCTTTAATGTATTTCCATTAGTTTAAACAGAGTTCCAGATAATCTGCTGAGGAGAATCCTGTGTAGATCTGAAATCGGGGAATAGGTAAAACCTGATGGTGTTAGCATTACATGATAGACTATGTAATGAAATATTGGTTGCCTGTCGTATACCAGTACTGTGTACTTTTTTAGGGTTTTTTTTGTTTTTGGTCTTTAAGTTAAATATAAAACGAAACTTCTGAAATTTTAAATGTTTAACATTTTATAATTGATTCTTATTTTAGTCATTTTTTTATACCTATCTCTTGCCTTGCTTTTAGTATCTTGGTCTCCTTGCTTTTGATAAAACTCTCTGGATCAGCAAAAGTTCCGTATAGAAAACTAAAAAGCCATTCCAGGTATTTTGCATGGAAATTGGAGTTAAACACAGTGAAATAATGTGCCTGCAGAAGTTTAAGGCTAGGATAACTTTAGTACCAAAAACAAGACATCACAAGGAAAGAAAGTACCTTTATACCATTTTATGCTTTTATACCATTCTATACTTTTATACTTTAATGAGACTTCCCTGGTGTCTCAGACGGTAAAGCATCTGCCTACAATGCGGGAGACCTGGGTTCGATCCCTGGGTTGGGCAGATCTTCTGGAGAAGGAAATGGCAACCCACTACAGTATTCTTGCCTGGAAAATCCCATAGATGGAAGAGCCTGGTAGGCTACAGTCTGTGGGGTCTCGAGTCAGACACGACAGAGTGACTTCACCTTACCTTACCTTATACTTTAATACGAGCAGATGGAGAGGTTTGTCCATAATCTTCTAAAATTTACATTTAATGGGAAAAAAGGAACATCTTCTAATTGTAGTTACTGATAGCTGACATACTGTCCTTCATACCTGTAGATTTTGGGTATCATGTCCTGGAACCTAGGATACTGAGGGATGACAATAATTGTGTTCATATACACCATCTTATTATTGTTTTCTAATTCATAGCTCCTGTATTTGTTTTGTTCAGTTTCTTTTTCTTCTTTTGGATTAACCAAATATTTTACATTAAATTTTTCCTTCTGTTAATTTTTGAAAAAATTACTATTTAGTGATGACTCTTAACAATTACAACACATTTGGCCCCCTCTCTTCTTTTGTGTATCATTGCCATGCCTTAAGACATTACTGTTTTTATTTTGTGCAGTCAACATTAACTCACATTATTATTTTCATTGCTTTCTGTATCTCTGTGTTTTTTATTTGGGATCATTTTCCTTTTACTGGGATAAATCCCTTTAGTTTCCCCCTCTTCCTCCACTGTTATTGCATGTCTGCTAGCAGTGAATTTTCTTTGTGAAAATGTTTTTATTTTGCTTTCATTTTTGAGCCTATTTTTGATGAGTGTACTGGTTTTCTGTGACTGCTGTTAAAACCATAAAAATTGATTCTCTCACAGTTGTGGGAACCAGAAGCCAAAATCCAGGTGTGACAGGGCCTCACACGCTGTGGAAGCTGGAGGGGAGAATCCTTTTTTGCTTTTTGAAGTCTCTGGTGGCTTTCAGCATTCCTTGACATAGATTGCTTTGTGGACATGTCATTCCGGCTTCTGTTTTCATGGTTACATCATTTGCTTCTCATCTGTGTTGCATAGTGTGGACACTTGGGTTTAGGCCCCGACCACCTGTAATCTGTGATGAGTATCTTGAGATCCTTACGTCTACAAAGAACCTTTTCCCAAATAAAATAACATTTATAGGTTCCAGGGGTTTGATGATAGTTCTTCTGAGGAGTCTGAGGAGTTACTTTTTTTTTTTTTGCCTGCCACACTGAGTGTACAATTTTAGGTTGGCAGTTATTTTCTCTCAGCAGTTTAAAGGTAGTTAGTTATGTTGTCCTCTGGTTTCTGTCATTTTTGTTTCTTTGAAATTAGTATTTCCTTGCTGCTTTTAATGTATCTGTGTTTTTACTGTGAAATGACTAGATGTGATTTTATTTTGTGTATTTTATTTTATTTTGTGTTTATTTCTCTTAGTGCTCACGAGCTGTTTGACTTTGGCTTCATTTAAATTTTTTTTTTTATTTAGGCTGTGTCAGGTCTTAGTTGCAGCCATGTGGGATCTTTAGTCACAGCATGCTGACTGCTAGGTGCAGCGTGTGGGATCTAGTTCTCTCACCAGGGATAGAACTTGGGCCCCCTGAATGGGGAGCACGGAGCCTTAGGTGCTGGACCATCAGGGAAGGAAGGAATGGGAAGAAAAGAATATCTCCTCTGAAGCGAAGGTAGTTTTTCCAAAAGAGTAGGGTTTAGTCTCAATTTAAGGAGAACACTTTTAAATAGCTTGGACAGCTCAAAACTGCTATTTAGGGAACTGAAAACCAAGTAAGCCAAGAACAACATTAAAAAAAAAATTCTGGCAAAGCAGCAAGAGAATGAAAAGTTGGTTTTGCATAGTTTTTCAACACAGAAGTAAGGGAAGAGGCACCTCTTCTCAAAAGGCTCTGAAAACCTGTGGCATCAATGGGTAGTTGCAGGGGGTTGGGGTTTCTCTCTCAGAGGCTCCTAGGGCACTCACCTCTCTCTACCCTACCCCATTGCTACGTTCACCCTTTCTCCCTCCACTTCCACACCGAAGGGGCAGCACTTCTTAGACTTGAACCTGCAGGGGCCATCTCTGCAGCCTAGATTGTCCCTGGAGCCTGGGGAGTTCTGCAACTGGAAGCCAGACTTGCAAGGCTGCCAGAGGTGCATGGGACCTGGAAAGAACTGGATGGGGGCGACTGGCACCTTAAAGCTCACCCACCAAGGGGAAGAAGGAGCACATCTTTTTAGGGAGCAGGATCAGCCTGCTCCCTACCCCTTTGGTGATCAATATTCCCTTGATGAGACAGGGACCACCTCCTGACTGTACCCCTGGATTCTGCCCTAAGAGGCCTCTGGCACCTGTGACAGTGCGGGTCCTGACCTCTTCAGTCGACTGAGGCCAGCGCTTCAGGGGTCCCTCCGGTCCCATCTCAGTCCCCTCCTCCCTGGTACTTTATCTAAGAGAGGAAGGAGGACAGAGGGACTTGGCTGAATCAAGGGTTCCATGAGCCTGTGGACCAGTTTTAATTCCTAGAGCCTGAGATTCAATTAAATATTACTGGAACCTACTGTAAGGTAGGTAGTCTTCCCTGTAACCCAGATGGGAAAGAATCTGCTTGCAATGCAGGAGACCAACTGGGTTGGATTCCTGGGTTGGAAAGATCCTCTGGGGAAGGGAATGGCAATCCACTCCAGTATGCTTGCCTGGAGAATCCCATGGGCAGAGAAGCCTGGTGGGCTACAGTCCGTGGCACAGAGTTGGACATGACTGAGTGAGTCCACTGTTACTACTACTGTAAGGTCAGGAGACTAGGAGACTGAGTCTCACCCCCGTGGGTACAGCCCTGGGACCTTGCCCAGGGCACCCCCCCCAACTTCAGGAGGAGGGTTGCTGCAGCTCCGCCAGGTCCTCTGCCGCCCCTGCTCCCAGATTCCCCTCTGGACTTTAGGTTACAGTGGAGCAAGCCTGGGTGGTGGAGGGCAGGGGCAAGATGATGGACCAGAGACCTAAAACACTGTGCACAGGTCTCCTCAACAGCTGCAGCAGCTCAGAGCAAACCTGAGCTCTAGTTTTCAAAGTAAGAGATACAGAGTTATTTTAAAGACCACGTTGCAGTCTCTGGATCTGTGGTCTGTTATCTTTTTCACCCATATATGGTCCTGTGCCTTACCATTCCTAGTATTTTTTTCATGGAATGTAATACATGGTGTATTAAAAAGTATAGGTGGTCCAGTTGCTGTCTCCCCCTCCCTCCCCCCAATTTGAGGTATGATTGATAAGAAAAGATTGTATATGTTTAGTTTGTACAGCATGGGTTTTTTAAAGTGTATGTGATGATTTAATGTATGTATATGTTGTAAAATGACTACCACAATTGAGTTTCTCTAAATACCACCACACTGGGGATTAGAGTTTCAAAAAATAAGTTTTGGAGGGCACATTGACATTCAGCCATATCATGCCCCCAGGCCAACTGTGTCCAAATATTCTAATTTCTCCTTTGTTACACAAAGGGCGTTGTACACTGAGATGGAATTAGGCGTGCAGACATCACTGTTGTGGATGACACTTGTGAAGGATCTGGTGGTGGAAGCAGCACTGGGGAGGGAGACTCAGGACTGTGGTCACATGTGCAGTGTCAGCTGGCTCGTTGAGCCCTGCGGTAGCGTCGGCAGGGGAGGCCCCAGCAGGCAGAGGTGGCCCGAGAGTGTGCTGCTGCGGAACGCTGTCAGCCTCCTTCCTCCTTGAGGCTGAGTAGGCTTGTGGAATGGAGGTGCAGGTGGTGGTGTACGCTTTGCTTTGTCAACTTAATCATTGTTCCCTGTCAGTTCACGAAGTTTCGCCTTGTTCTTTGTGTTTTACGTAATACTGCTGCGTACGTCTCCCAAGTTGTGGGGTTTTCATAGTTTAATTCAACCAGTTCTTTGGATGGATATATTGTTTGAAAGATTTTGCTATTCCAGTAATGCTGCAGTGGATTGTGTTTGTGGAAATTGCCTTAAGGTGAAATGGCCAGGGGAGCAAGTGCATGCAGATGTAATTTTTTTCCTGTTATTCTTTAAAAAATTTTTTTTTTTAATTTTGTGTTGGAATATACTTGATTAGCATTGTTGTGTTAGTTTCAGGTCTACAGCAAAGTCATTCAGTTATACATGTACATGTATCCTTTTTCAAAATCTTTTCCCATATAGGTTATTACAGAATATTGAGCTGAGTTCTCTGTGCTATATTAGGTTCTTGTTGGTTATCTGTTTTACGTATAGCAACAACTTTACTCTTGTTTACCATAAGTTCTTCTCTAAGTCTGTGAGTCTGTTTCTGTTCTGTAAATAAGTTCCTTTATATCATTTTTCTTTTTTTTGGTTCCGCATATAGGAGGTACCACATGATAACTTGTCATTGTCTTGCTTCACTTAGTATGACGACTTCTGGGTGTGTCCATGTTGCTGCAAATGGCGTTATTTCATTCTCTTAATGGCTGAGTAATATTTCACAGTATGTATACTACATCTTCTAATGCAAGTGTAACTTTAAAGATGCTGCTGATTTCCCTTCTTCTGTAGGAAAAAAATCCCACTGCTTTGTATTCCTACCAGAAGTGTGTGAGTCTGTAGTCTCCCCCACAGCCTTGCCAGCAGTGTGTTGTCTCCTTTTGGATTTGCACCAGTCTGAAGTCAGAAGTGTGGTTGGCAGTTTTCTCTGTTCATGTCTTCTGTTGATTGTTTTTTTCTCTTTTTTTTAACTTTAAAAATTATTTACATATTAAGTGTATTTTCATTGACTAAATAATTTGCAAGTGGATTGTGAAAGTGGATTGCAAGTTTCTTGTGAAAAGCTGTCTTTTTTACTTAGCTAATGGTATTTTTTGCTATTCTGAAGGTTTTGTTTTCATGAGGTGATTAGGATTTGAGATCACTTCCAGTTTCTTGCAAGAGAAGAATGTAATATTTAGCTTTCCAACCCCTGTGTGCCAGCAGAAAGTAGAGTAGATGTTGGAGACAGTTCATGGTGCTTGCCAAAGGGCATTTCCAGGAGGACAGTTCTGTGGCCAGAACAGTGGGCAGGAACAGGAAGGGACAGTGGTTCTCAACCTTGTTGATTAGAGCCCTGCAAGTTAGACTTTCCTGAAGGGATTATAGCTCCTCACAACTAGTTGTGTCATTAGTGAAGACTAGCAGATCTTGGCTCTGTGCCCTGTATTGCCCCAGTGACTTGTAACTGGGTCCAGTTGAACTGTGAGGGCCCTAGAGCAGATAACTGAGGCCCCTCTGGTTTTGACTGAAATTTCTTTTGTGTTCACATGATTGATAAGTGGTTATGATTTAGTCATATTAAGGATCCCTCATTTGTATTAATAAAAGTCAGGTTGCTTGCAAATGGATTGTGAAGTTGGATTTTTCACAGTTCCATGTGTATACACACTTGTATATGGTTCAAGCCTCTTTAGTGCATGAAGCTCTTAGCACTCTTACTCATCTTGCTAAGTAATGAGCTATGTGAGTAAACTCTAGAGTAAAACTGCCAGAAATAGCGTGAGTTTTCTGACTTCACTTTGGGCTTCTGTTTTTCCTTTTTCATTTAATTCCGTTTCTGTCGAGTGTTTTCAGTCACAGAAAGCTGTAGGCATTCGCCCATGGGCTGGAACGGCGTGTTTGTGGCCGTGGCCCCTCACAGCCCTGAGGAAGGGGCCTCGATGACGGCTTGCTGCGCGCCCACACTGCTGCTGGGCTCCTGACCTGAGTCTGGTAGGCGTGGCCAAGAAGGTAAGGGCAGGCAGGCCTCTGGGAGCCATGGTTCTAAAATCGCACTGTTCTTTATTTTTCTCCAGCTGGTTTCCCAGTGGGCTATGCAGCAGCAGCTCCTGCCTACTCCCCCAACATGTACCCTGGAGCGAATCCTACCTTCCAAGCAGGTATGCAAGCCCACATGTGCTGGGTGGTAAAAGTGTTTTGTTAATGTGACTGTGGGAGAATGTAAAGGGGATGAATTTCAAGAAGAGTGGTTATAGAATTGGAATTTGGGGTTTGTATTGATTTCTTGGTTCATAGGATTAGTCTTCTTAATAAGTACAATAAAAACTTAATTCTTATAGCACTTAAAGCCTTGTATATTGCATTTTCGATGTCCTTCCACAACACAGAACTTCATTCCAGTCATAGCTTGGTACAAGTAACTATTTGTGCCAGACTTTGTATGTATTTATGAAATAGTGTTGATTACTAGAAACTAAAGATCATCTTGCCATGTTAATGGGTAGAATTTCCATGTTACTAACACTTTTAGAGATAACTGATCTCTCTCTAGTACTTTAGCACTTTGATTATGGTTTTAAAAGAAAGTCTTATTTTCTGTGTAAGGTCCATAGGAATATTTTCAGGTTTTAGAAATCAGTACAGTTGAAAGTGGAATTTGTTTGAGTCTGGACCTTGTAAAGATAGTTTTTCTTAAATGGGACTTTCCTCTGTGAGCCTTCATTTTGCTGTTGGCGCATTCCAGACTTTATTCACCCAGAATGGACTTTATGATTCTGCTGCAACTGTGGTGGCCTACTCTCTGACCCAAAGGCTCAGCCTCATGAGTCTGGTGGGGTGCATCTTTGTCCCTTGGAACTGTGGCCTCACAGAGTTAACTTGACAGAAGAGGAGACAGCAGCAGTGTCCTTGTCTTGAGTTCTTGGTTTGATAGTCATAAGATTCTTCCTTCCTTCTGCCCATGTCTCCCACTCCAATCCCATTCTTACTGCCTTTGTTCGCCTTGTAGCTCACACCCAAAGAAAGACCGTCTTGGCTTGGTCTTTTTGCTTCCAAGCTTTCTCTCCTTGACTTCGTGTTCCTTGGCCTTAAACCTGAATAATGTTTGCAGTATGATTTCCTGTGATTCTTAAGACACAGTGAAGCCTAGAGTCTCCAACTTAAAATTCCTAGGTCTTTGCCACATTGACCTGTTCTTTCCAAAAAAATATTTTTGTTTTGTTTTTGCATGGCTTTTATTCGCAGTCTTTCTCTTACACCTGGACTAGAATACCTGCTACTTTGTGCCATCTTTTGGGATCTGTAAGGGAACATCCCTTCCCTGGGATAAAGCAGTATTTTTCCCTGTTACTATTCACTGTGTTCTTTAACAGCTAAATGGTGCTACTGTCTCCTTTTGTAAGACATATTTTGTTTAACTTTCTAAAAACCACGTCTGAAGGTATGACTCTCAGTAAGCTACATGTATTTAGAGGGTGCTCAATACGATGTATGGCATCCTTTCAGTTTCATGTGTCCACTCATTCCTCATCCCCAGAAGTTTTCTCCTGCCCCTGCGTGACCTTGCCTAGGCTCCAGGAAATAGCTCATCTGTTTTCCCTCACTGCAGATCACTTGTAGTTAATCTAAAATTTTGTATAAGGGAATCATATAAAATGTATTTTGGAGGGTGCTGGCTTTCATTGACAATTTTTGACATCCACGTTGTAGTTTATATCAGTGGTTCATTTCTTACTATTGTTCTGTTGTACAGAAATACCACTAATTGCTTATTTGTTCTCCAGTTGATGAACGTTTGGATTGTTTGCAGTTTGGGGCTGTCACAAATGAAACTGCTATGAATATTTGTGTACATTCTTTATATGAACATGAACTCTTATTTCTCTTAGTAAGTGCTTCAGGCAGGCAGGTGTATGTTTAACTGTGTAACACTGCCAGCCTGCCTTCCAAAGGGGTTGTGATGTCGTATGTTGCCACCAGCAGTGGGGAGCGTGCAGATTCCCCTATGTCTTTGCCAGTACTTGGTAGTCATCCTGTTTAATTCCAGGCTTGCTGGTGAGTGTGTAGTGACATCTTAATGTAGTTTTAACTTGAACTTATCTGATGACTAATAATGTTAAACCTTGTTTCATGTGCCTGTTTGACTTTGGTTAAATGTGTACATCTTTTTCTGCCTGTCTGTTTTTTTTTTTTTTTGCCTGTCTGTTTTTAAGTTTGTTTTCTTATTGGGTTTGAGAGTTCTTTATCAGATATATGATTTGCAAATATTGTTTCATAGTCTGTGGCTCTTTTCAGTCTCAACATCATCTTTAAAAGAGAAGGAGGTTTAAAATTTAACTAAGTTCAGTTTATCATTTTGTTCTTTTATTGATCATGATTTTGGTATCGTTTCTAAGACATCTTTGCCTAACCCAACATCACAACAGTTTTCTTCTAGAAGTTTTACAGTTTTAGATTTTACTTTTAGATATATGACCCATTTTAGGCTAACATTTCTGTATGGTGGTAGGAATGAATTGAAGTTAGGTTTTGTATAAGTACTAGTTTTTCTGCTATATGTAATCATGCATGCAGACCTCCAGAAAGTGTCATTGTTCTAGAATTCTCCAGTGTAGCTCACTGTACTCATTTTCCCTGTGGTACAAGTTAATGTAAAAATGTACTAAAAGCTTCCAGTTTTTTCTTACTCTTTTACACAAAGAGCCTCAGGTTTATTTCAGGCTGGTCAGGCTGCTTTGCTTGGCCTGCAGAGGGAGTCTGGTGTGTAGGGGCTGGTGCTGCTGTCTGATTGCTTTCTCCTCATGCCAGCCTGCAGAGCAGCTGCCATTCCTCTTCTTTCTTGTGGGGAAGTGGGTCCTTTCTTGCCTCTTTTCCAAGACTGCTCTCAGGCTGTCCCTCTAACCCAGAAGCTGGGGCCTGCAGGTGGGAGTGGGCCTGATGGGCAAGGTGGCTGCCGAGAGGACCTGCCTTGTTTGAGCAGGTGTCCCCTGCTGAGTACTGGATGGTTGTCAACTGCCACACTGCTGGCCCAGCATTGCTAGATCTTCAGATGGTTAGGAGATGCTGGGAATAAAGATGTATGTAAAATTTGCAAAAAAAAAAAAAAAGGTACTTTGAAAGTCCCAGCAGTGTCCTGTTGAGTGCTTTTGCCACCTGACTGGAGTCTGGGCTACAACTATGTCCCTGCTTTTTCTGAGATCCTTTCAGTATTTTTATAACTTGAATTTTTAAATTTCCTTTTTTAGTGGGCCTTTTTTCTTATCTCTTGATTAAGTCAAAATTTGTCACTGTAAAAAAATAAAAATTTTTCTCTATTTCTGCTGCTTTCTCAATCTTCTGGTTCTCTCACCACCAGATTTTCAGAAAAAGCTGATGTGTAGCATATGGAGTGTGTATGTGTATGTGGCCTTTAAAGCACTTTTGCAGCCCTAACACTGTTTATATCTTAGTTCTTACAAGGGCGACATAGGGAGGGTTTAGAGAACCTTAACAATGAGAGATCATGTCTTTTGCTGAAAGATTCCATTGCTCAGAATCTGGAGATGAGGGTGATATTAATTGCATTCTCATGAACAAGCATAGTAGGCTGACTACATGTGCATCCAGAGAGGAATGTCCATTTTTGGAATCAGAACAATATATTGGAAGGAGTTCAGGCTGTTGTGTTAGCAAGATGTGGCGCAAATCCTGACTGTGTCACTCCTGGGAAAGATGTTTAATTTTTGTCATTTATTTAATGCATCATTATATCTCCTCAGCTGTGTTATTTGTGGATTCTAGCAGCAAACACGTGATCTTACTCCCAAGGCATATTCAGGCACACATTCAGGATTCTTTTCTACTCCCATAAACAGCTAGCAGTATCTGTAACTAACTTCATATAAGATGAAAACATTGCTAAAAGTGATGCAAAGGCTTCTGTGATTTCTTCCATGCATAGCTTGGTGGTGGATAAATTAGGGAAACATGTTTGGAGGACAGTTTGGTAGTATAATAGAAAGAAGCTTAAAAGTGAGATCAGTATGCAAATAGTTATGTAAGTGCAGATCTATCTAGTAAAGTGATGGGTTGATTAAACTGTTGGTTTATTTCAGTGTTTAACTGGTCTTACTATTTGTTTGAGAGGAATATTAAATAAGTGGAAATGCTTTATGATATGCTGCTTTTTTTCTGTTTGAACTCAGATTTATGTCCATGAAGTAAGATCCCAGATTTGTTTAAAAATTAAGCTTCCCTTTGAACTTGTGGTTGATGTGGGGAAGGGATAGTTAGGGAGTTTGGATGGACATGTGCACATTGCTGTATTTAAAATGGATAGGGCTTCCCTGGTGACTTAGTGGTGGAGAATCCATCTGCCAGTGCAGGAGAACATGGGTTCGATCCCTGATCTGGGAAGATCCCACATGCTGTGAAGCAACCAAGCCTGTGCACCGCAGCTATTGAGCCTGTGCTCTGGAGCCTGGGAGCAGTAAATCCTGAGCCCGCATGTTGTAACTACCGAAGCCCAGGCGCCCTAGAGCCTGTGCTCTGCAGCAGGAGAAGCCCCTGCGGTGAGAAGCCTGCGCACTGCGACTGGAGAGGGGCTCCCATCCTCTCTGTTACTGTGACCATGTCAGTGTTGCTCACTACTGTGAGTGTGTGGCTGTTCTCTTCTGCAATTGCTTTTTTCTTCCCTGGGCCTAGTGTCCTTTATTAGATTCTATAACTACATAGTTAATTAAACCCTCAACTTCCGCCCAAGGGTGGAATCTCTTCGCAGCTTTTTAGGCCATGTGAGATGTTTGTGTTTTCCCCTCTCGGTGATGTCTTTTTGAAACCTTCTCTCATCTTCTGGCCTTTGTGCTCTGGGGCTTACCCTGGGTCCTCCTCCTCCTCCATCGTCGCAGGGAGTTCACACGTCTTCCCTTCCACTTGGTTCTTTGTCTACTTTTTTAGTTTATTCCTTGGTGTTAGTGGAGGATCTTTGTTCAGTAATCTCTCAAGAGAATATTGGAAAATCATAGTTTTGAGATTTTTCATGTCTGAAGACAATTTATTCTGCACTCACAGTTCATGGTTAGTATGTCTGGATATAGAATTCTAGGCTAACAGTTATGTCCCCTTAAAATTTTGGGAACATTGCTGAATTATTTGCCAGTTTTGTTGCTGCCATTGTGAATGT